TTCTGTATTGAGTCCTTTACCATTCCTTCAAATACCTTACATACTATTGATATTAGGCTGACTGGTCTATAGCTTCCTATTGTACACTATTTTTCCAAAAGTATTAGGCCAGACCTCCAAATCATGTGATTTATGTGTTCCAATCCCCTCCATGGCCACAGGTGTATACAATCAAGCCCCTAGGCATGCAGACTGCTTCTACAAACATTGGTGAAAGAATGGGTCGCTCTCAGGAGCTCAGTGACTCCAAGCGTGGTCCAGTGATAGGTTGCCACCTGTGCAATAAGTCCATCCGTGACATTTCCTGGCTACTAAATATTCCACGCTCAACTGTTAGTGGGATTATAACAAAGTGGAAGGAACTGGGAATAACAGCAACTCAGCCACCAAGTGGTAGGCCACGTCACATGACAGAGCGGGGTCAGCGCATGCTGAAGCACACAGTGCGCAGAAGTCGCCAACTGTCTGCAGAGTCAATAGCAAAAGACCTCCAAACTTGGTATGGTCTTCAGTTTAGCACAACAACAGTGCATAGAGAGCTTCATGGAATGGGTTTCCATAGCCGAGCAGCTGCATCCAAGCCTTACATCACCAAGTGCAATGCAAAGCGTCGGATTCAGTGGTGTCAAGCATGTCGCCACTGGACTCTAGAGCAGTGGAGATGTGTTCTCTGGAGTGACCAATCACGCTTCTCTGTCTGCAAGTCCTATGGACATGTCTGGGCTTGGTGGTTGCCAGAACGCTACTTGCCTGACTTCATTGTGCCAAGTGTAGTGGGGGAGGGATTATGTTGTGGGGTTGTTTTTCAGGGGTTGGGCTTGGCCCCCTAGTTCCAGTGAAGGGAACTCTTAAGGTGTCAGCATACCAAGACATTTTGGACAATTTCATGCTGCCAACACTGTGGGAAGAGTTTGGGGATGGCCCCTTCCTGTTCCAACATGACTGTGGACTAGTGCACAAAGCAAGACATAAAGACATGGATGAGCGAGTTTTGGGGTGGAGGAACTTGACTGGCCTGCACAGAGTCCTGACCTCAACCCCTTAGAACACCTTTGGGATTTTGGGATGAATTATAGTGGAGACTGAGAGCCAGGCCTTCTCATCCGACATCAGTGCCTGACCTGACAAATGTGCTTCTGGAAGAATGGTCCAACCTTCCCATAGACACCCTCCTAAACCTTGTGGACGGCCTTCCCAGAAGAGTTGAAGCTGTTATAGCTGCAAAGGGCGGGGCCAACTCAATATTGAACCCTACGGACTAAGACTGGGAGGCCATTAAAGTTCATGTGCGTGGAAAGGCTGGCGGCCCAATACTTTTGTCAATATAGTGTATGTGTCAATATCCCCAGGGCAGTGCCCAGCTCCCCATGCCTTTCACACCTATTAGCGTTAAAAATGGCTGAATTGATTTGAAAGATTCTGCTCCCATTGACTTCCATGGGGTTCAGGTTAACATGTGAGATCTCTGATGTATAACAAGGCCTGATTTCCGTATAAAACTTTTCCCACATTCAGGACAGGAATACGGCTTCTCTCCTGTGTGCAATCTCTGATGTAGAACAAGGCCTGATTTCCGTGTAAAATGTTTTCCACATTCAGGGCAGGAATTTGGCTTCTCACCGGTGTGCAATCTCTGATGTATAACAAGCCCGTGTTGCCATGAAAAACATTTTCCGCACTCAGAGCAGGAATACGGCTTTTCGTCTGCGTGAATCTTCTGATGTGAGTAAAGTGAGGACAACCGTGAAAAACATTTCCTGCACTCAGAACAACAATACGGCTTCTCCCCCGTATGAGATCTCTGATGTTTAACAAGGTCTGATTTTTTTTAAAAACCATTTTTTGCACTCAGGACAGGAATACAGCTTTTCTCCTGTGTGAGATCTCTGATGTACAACCAACCTTGATTTCCATGGAAAACATTTCCCACACTCAGGGCAGGAATACGGTTTCTCCCCTGTGTGAGATATCTGATGTTTAACAAGGTCTGATTTCTGTGAAAAACATTTTGCACATAGGAGGCAGGAATACGGTTTTTCCCCTGTGTGGGATCTCTGATGTAAAACAAATTCTGACTTGTGTAAATAACATTTCCCACACTCAGGACAGGAATGCGGCTTCTCCCCTCTGTGAGATTTCTGATGTATAACAAGGTTTGATTTTTGTGAAAAGCATTTTCCGCACTCAGGGCAGGGAAATGGCTTCTCCCCCGTGTGAGATCTCTGATGTATAACAAGGTCTGAATTGTATAAAAAACATTTCCCACACTCAGGGCAGGAATACGGCTTGTCCCCTGTGTGAGATCTCTGATGTCTAACAAGATTTGATTTCTTTGTAAAACATTTCCCACACACAGCACAGGAATGAAGCTTCCCACCCGTGTGAGATCTCTGATGTACAGTAAGACTCAATTCAGAGCTAAAACTTCCCCCACATTCAGGACAGAAAAAAATGTCCTCCCCCTGAATTTCTCCACCATCCCCCACAGTATGAGGTTGCTCAGAGTCAGAGGGATGTGATGGTCCATCCACACTGTGAAGTCCACCATCCATAGCTGAGATCATTGTCTTTTCTCCGGCACAACCTCTTGTGATCTCCTCATCTTCCATTTTACAACCCGAAGATAAAGTGAGACGATCCTCTGAGGGTTCCTCCATGACGTGTCCTGGAAAAACATAAAAAATATGATCATCAGATCACTGAACTCAACATTACATCTGGATCAGATAGATTCAAGTGAGAAGATGTTCTCTGTAGAGTTCCCAAGCAGTTGGAAATTTTTATCTCTTCAGTAAAAGGTCCTTTGGTCCTCCCCCCAGATCACTTCTACATTTCCCCAGCCTTGTCAGAAGACCAGGAACCAATGGGGACTGGGAGGGGCATGCTCTTCACACAACCACAAGCCTAGGCACTGGGTCATGTGATCTCTGATAATGACGAGGTTCAAAGTTCAGACTTGTAGGACCTTTAATAGAGAACAAGAGACCATAGGGCTAGGTATCAAATCAAGATTCAATCTGGATCAGGTCAGTTTTAGTGAGTAGATGTTCTCTGTGGATGTCCCAACCAGCTGTGACTTCCCCTCTTCAGTAAAAGGTCCTTTGGTCCTCCCCCCCAGATCACTTCTACATTTCCCCAGCCTTGTCAGAAGAACAGGAACCAATGGGGACTGGGAGGGGTATGCTTTTCACACAACCACAAGCCTAGTCAAGGTATTTTGGATAAACAAAAGGTTAAAAGTTTACACTTGTAGAACTATTAGCACAGAACAAGTGACCATAGGCCTAGGCTTCTGCTGATAACAACTGCTCTGCCATACTTTTATGTAATTTTCTGTGTTGTATTGAACTGCATTAGGTTTTTATTGTTTTGTAGTACGATGACATCTAGTGGAAGTTTTAGGCCCCTGCAACTTGTATACTACAGTATATGACTTTCTCTTCTCCTTCTGTATTCCCCTCATGTTTAATGCTAGTTAGTTTACTCATAACTAGACCCTTCCCATTTTTTCCATGTTCCCACAGTAAGTATTAGTACTTTGCAGAGACAGGGTTTAGGAAAGTTGATGTATTCGCACGCCTCCACATACTGGAAAAGAAAAACAAATACTCTGTACTTCAATTAACTGAATTAAAATGACATTAGATTCAACTTCTGTGTCTTACTAAAGAGTTACCCTAGGTCCACACCTATGCGACCATGCGGGCCGCGTTTTTCTCGGGCACGAGAGCCCATTCATTTGACACGCAGAGAAAGAAGTCCCTGCACTACTCTGGAAAACGTAGCCCATACAGGATCCTCGGTTCCCAGTACGGTTGTGTTTCCCAGTGCAGGCGGCGTGCCATTAGAACTAATGGCACCCGCCCGCGGGTTCGCGATTCTCTGTGTGGGTGGTGCGGCTGCACGGATTTTCGTGCGGATCCGCAGTGGCACCACCCACACAGATGTGAACCGGGGGTTAAGCTGCCTGTAGATGGTGCCAAGTCAACAGGTGACCACATTGTCCACAGAGGCTAGACCTAAGGAGGTGGTCAATGTATAAAGCTGCATTTAAACAAGATATCTGTGTACTGTAACTAGGAGTACAACACAACCTTATGCTGCCATCTGAACCCCAAACTCTACATAAATCATGTCTGCAGCACAGAGAAGGGGGTTTATCTGATAGAAAAGAAGAAATAATGTGTAGGACGGGTATCAGTGACTATTATTGATAAACCGGATTTATAAAGCGCCAACAGTTTGCACAGCGCTTTACAATATAAGGGGGTGGTACAATTACAATGCATTTCAATACAGAAGGAACAGGAAGCCCCGGCTCATGGAGCTTACAATCTAAAGGAAGGGGGAGGTGGTACAAAAGGTGATAGTTGTAGGTGATGTTCTGATGGAGGTGGCTCAAGTACAGTTCTTAGGTGGAGGTGGGGTCGGCTTCTCTGAATAAGTGAGTTTTCAAAGATCACCTAAAGGCAGACAGGGTGGGGGCTGACCGGACATACTGGGGTAGGGAGTTCCAGAGAATGAAAGAAGCCCTGGAGGCGAGTGTGGGTGGAGGTGATGATGGAGCTAGAGAGCAAGATGTCTTGGGAGGAGCAGAGCGGGCGATTTGGAGGACATCTGTGGATAAGGTTGTTATTATCAATCTATGATTGGCTGATATCACTCATCTCCCGCCCTACTCTGGACCAATCACTGAGCAGTAACAGAGCAGAGATAACAGAAGAATATATTGTGGCTCACCTGTGCTGATCTCTGTAGGAGTGTCCTCCTCTTTGAATGTCCTCATCATTCCAGCCTCCTCCGTATATTGCTGATCATCCCTCACATACGTCTCTTCTACTTCACCCTCAACTTTCATCTTCATCAGATCTTCACCCTAAACCAACAGAATGGCAGAAATAACATCTGTAATATAGAAGGATTTATGATGTGAGATCACATAGAAAATATCATCTTGTAAAGTCCACACATCGTCTCCACATGTCAGAGTGTTCCATCACTTTATGTTCCAGACCCTCAACTCCACCGACCTGATGATGGTGAGGAATGGTGTGACCTTCCTGTGTGGAATCCCGGGAATACAGAGGACAGGGACATCTCTCTGGTGGGTTCCCATTACTGGATCCATCTACCTGATGATGGTGAGGAATGGTGTGACCTTCCTGTGTGGAATCCCGGGAATACAGAGGACGGGAACATCTCTGGTGGGTTCCCATGACTGGATCCATCTGTAGGAAACACACACACTGACTGAATCCATTGTTTCTATGTGTTTTATCAGATGATGGGGGATCTAGATGGATCCTCCGTACTGCTCTCTCCTTTACAATAAAGTCTCCTCTTACCCGGTGATGTGAGGGGCGGCTGATTGTCCATCATGACGTCCTTGTAGAGATCCTTGTGTCCTTCTAAATACTCCCACTCCTCCATGGAGAAATAGACAGTGACACCCTGACACCTTATAGGAACCTGACACACACAATGATACAGTCACCATCCAGACACATCCCTTGTCTGTTACTGGAGAATGTCCCAGAATTCCCGGCACCACTCACCTCTCCTGTCAGCAGTTCCATCATCTTCTTGGTGACTTCTAGAATCTTCTGCATGTTGTGTCTCTCAGGTGTCAGGGAGTCACGTGGAGGCACTGTGATGGTCATATGGTCTCCAGACTTAGCAGGAGGAAAATTCTATTAAAAAAATAAATAGATAAAAAATATTTCACATTCCCAGAATCCTCCTCACCTCTCCGGTCAGGTCTGTGTTTTATTAATAGAGATAAGTGATGTCATGTGACCTCCCAGAATCCTCCTCACCTCTTCGGTCAGGTCTGTGTTTTATTACTAGAGATAAGTGATGTCATGTGACCTCCCAGAATCCTCCTCACCTCTCTGGTCAGATCTGTGTTTTATTAATAGAGATAAGAGTGATGTCATGTGACCTCCCAGAATCCTCCTCACCTCTCCGGTCAGGTCTGTGTTTTATTAATAGAGATAAGAGTGATGCCATGTGACCTCCCAGAATCCTCCTCACCTCTCCAGTCAGGTCTGTGTTTTATTAATAGAGATGAGAGTGATGTCATGTGACCTCCCAGAATACTCCTCACCTCTCCGGTCAGCAGGTAGATGATCTCCAGGGTGAAGTTTAATATCCTCTCAGTCATGTGACTCTGGTCCTCCATCTTAATTTATATGGTCATGTGATCCATGCAGGTTGACCTGGAGACACAGAATTATCTGGACTGTATTGATTGTACATTATTAGGATGGGTATGCAAGCGTTTAAAAAGTGGGCTGCCCCCCGTGGGAATTGTCAAATGTGCAGGCTGATTCCCTCCAGTGTCTGTATTTGTGAAAAGCTGTTGCTTGGTAAATATCACAGAGATAATTTTTACAGATGGGTACTTTGTGTCCCTGCTAGAATGATCAGAAACCAGATTGAAGGACTATAATATCTTATAAAGGGGAATTTCTAAAAACAAGAAACAGAATTAGACCACATGACTTTCCATCCAGGAGCTGCTGCAATTCATCCAAACCAGAAGCAGAGACTATTAGATATCTGTATTGGTCACAGATATCACTACTATCTCACTTACATAGCGGAAGACAGCATGGTGGGGAGCTGTCCTTCAGCAAAGAGTACTGTTGGGATCCTCATGAGTGCCATTGTGATTGATGATGGATTTACAATGGGAAATTCTTGGATTTTAATTTTGAAATAAAGGACTTGTCAAATGTTTGGACTTATTTCTGTTACAAATTTTTTTTTTTGGGTAAATGAGTAGGGGGAACAGTGTGGGGAGAGATATCTAGGTGCCCTCTTAATATTAAAGAGGACTTTCGAACTTTGATAAGCCCCCTACTTGCAGTGCCCAACAATTACTGGCCAGGGTTGCGGGAAGGAGGCCCTTGTACTCATCAACATGGTGACAAGGTACTTTGCCAAGGGGGTTCCCCCTGGCAAGGCACTGCCCATGTTGAGGGCATGTTGATTGTTATGGTTTAGGAGAAAAGACACACACTGTCCCCCCCCTTCCTGTCCAGCTAAGCTGAATGCACAGATTAAGGGTTTTATATGGATTTTTAGAGGAACCTCACCTTTTTTTTGGGCAACAGGTACCCTCTTAAAATCTATACTAGACTCCAAGGGTCCAGTATGTATTTTGGTCCTCCCTCCCTGTAGTCTTTTGGGACACGTGACAGGTCCCAGAAGACTACAGGACCATTCATGAAGCTCACGCTTCACAGCTAGGTGCCCACAATGAAGATGCTGGCCTCCTGGAATACAGGATGGCCAGTGAAACGGGCTGCGGGGGACACACCACGTGACCGAGGGACAGGTAAGTGGCTGTTTTTTAAAAGTCAGCAGCTACAGTTTTCTCAGTTGCTGACTTTTATTTTTTGACAGAGTGAGTGGAATTCATAAATACCACCAAAAGAAAGCTCTAGTTGTGTGAACAAAATGTAAAAAAATTTTGGCTTGGGTACAGTGTTGCATGACCGCGCAATTGTCATTCAAAGTGTGAGAGCGTTGAAACCTGAAAATTGGCCTGTGCTGGAAGGGGGTAAAAGTGCCCGGTTTTGAAGGAGTTAAAGAAATTAGACATTTTTAATATTCCACTTTAAGCATTTAAGAAAAAAAAAAAATCACTACTCCTGGCCAGGGGCGGACTGATAACTCATGAGGCCCCCGGGCAATAGGGGATCATGGGGCCCTTGTGTCCTTGCCCAAACTCAAAAAAGCCTATGAAAAAGGTACCAGGTGCATCTCATGGGGCCCTCTACTGACCCCGGGCCCTCGGGCAGTGCTCGAGTTTCCAAATGGTCAGTCTGCCCCTGCTCCTGGCCCAATGGGATGTTTTAAAAAATGCACCTTCCTCTCATGCTATGCCATGCTCAAACTTTGATGTTCACCAAACACCAATTGAATTGAACCCAGGTGTGTTCATCTCATCTCCAGCGAGAAGGTGACCCATCTCCACAATGAGGAGAATGTTCCGGCCCCGGAAGTGGGGGAATGTTGTGCCCCTGAAGGGGTTAATCTGGGTTCCCACACTATATATGTGTGTATCATCATCTGCTGGAGATAAAAGATGTCACAGTGACTATGGAGGAAGAGGACGGACGTGACTATGGGGGAAGAGGACGGACGTGACCATGGAGGAAGAGGACGGACGGGACCATGGAGGAAGAGGACGGACGGGACCATGGAGGAAGAGGACGGACGGGACCATGGAGGAAGAGGACGGACGTGACCATGGAGGAAGAGGACGGACGTGACCACGGAGGAAGAGGACTGACGTGACCACGGAGGAAGAGGACGGACGTGACCACGGAGGAAGAGGACGGACGTGACCACGGAGGAAGAGGACGGACGTGACCACGGAGGAAGAGGACGGACGTGACCACGGGGGAAGAGGACGGACGTGACCACGGGGGAAGAGGACGGACGTGACTATGGAGGAAGAGGACGGACATGACGGGGGGGGGGTTACTGGGTGTAAATAGGAAATACCATCTTATTACCTCCTCTGCTGCCACTTCCACCAACGTCTCCTCTCTACTTCTTCCCACCTCACCTCTCACTGGGAATATCCTATTTATACCTGACATCACTTCCTGTCTGTACCTGACATCACTTCCTGTCTGTATTCCATAGAGACTTCCTGTCTGAGTATAAGTGTGCTCACAACCTTGTGGAGCTCAGAGGAACTGCAGCCCCCAGAATTGCCTCTAAATGTGAACATGGCCTTGTCATTGTTTCCAAGCACCCTAAATGTTGCAGGACAGTCACAGTGTCAGTGAATTGGAAGCTGTTGGGGGGGGAAAAGCTGAAAATAAAGTGAATCGGCTTGGGTTTAATGGACAGGGCCATTCAGCAGATACATGTAAAAATACTGCCTGTACAACATACTAGAGAAAAAGTAACATTTTAGAAAAAAAAAATATATTCACAACCAAATGACATTTCCTTGCTGGCTTCATTTTTTTTTTTCTTAAGGATAAGGGTCTGGTGTGTGTTTTGGAGGGTCCTCATGTTGTTCAAAGAAAACAAATACAGCAGAGAATTGTCATTTAGCTGTGAATTTATTTCTAAAATGTCATTTGAGCCAATATCAAAGATGGGGCACTATTCCTCCCACCAATACCAATGATGGGACACTATTCCTCCCACCAATACCAATGATGGGGCACTATTCCTCCCACCAATACCAATGATGGGGCACTATTCCTCCCACTGATACCAATGACGGGGCAATATTCCTCCCACTGATACCAATGATGAGGCACTATTCCTCCTACTGATACCAATGATGGGACACTATTCCTCCCACTGACACCAATGATGGGACACTATTCCTCCCACTGACATCAATGATGGGACACTATTCCTCCCACCAATAGCAATGATGGGGCAATATTCCTCCCACTAATACCAATGATGGGGCACTATTCCTCCCACTGATACCAATGATGGGGCACTATTCCTCCCACTGATACCAATGATGGGGCACTATTCCTCCCACTGATACCAGTGATGGGGCACTATTCCTCCCACTGATACCAATGATGGGGCACTATTCCTCCCACTGATACCAATGATGGGGCACTATTCCTCCCACTGATACCAGTGATGGGGCACTATTCCTCCCACTGATACCAATGATGGGGCACTATTCCTCCCACTGATACCAGTGATGGGGCACTATTCCTCCCACTGATACCAATGATGGGGCACTATTCCTCCCACTGATACCAATGATGGGGCACTATTCTTTCCACTGATACCAATGATGGGACACTATTCCTTCCACTGACACCAACAGTGGGGCACTATTCCTCCCACTGATACAAATGATGGGGCACTATTCCTCCCACTGATACCAATGATGGGGCACTATTCCTCCCACTGATACCAATGATGGGACACTATTCCTTCCACTGACACCAACAGTGGGGCACTATTCCTCCCACTGATACCAATGATGGGGCACTATTCCTCCCACTGATACCAATGATGGGGCACTATTCCTCCCACCAATACCAATGATGGGACACTATTCCTCCCACCAATACCAATGATGGGGCACTATTCCTCCCACCAATACCAATGATGGGGCACTATTCCTCCCACTGATACCAATGACGGGGCAATATTCCTCCCACTGATACCAATGATGAGGCACTATTCCTCCTACTGATACCAATGATGGGACACTATTCCT